CTATATATCTGTCAATCTACCTACCTATCTATAGCAGAGTAGCAAGAGGCTGAGACTTACTGGAAACCTCACACTGCCATGAGTGCAGGAAAGCCCTGCCTACAAGACAAGACCCGAGAGTGACCTCAGGTCACAGCCCAGACAGGAGGACTAATCCGAATCTATTCTCTTAGCCTTCCCCACATGGAAATCCTTTGTATGGGGCACCAGGAGAAGAGATTGATAGGGACTGCTGACCCCACTGCAATGCCTAGCCCCTTCTACTCCTATCAATGGAAGAATCAACAGTCCAATGTGCCACCATGGAACCAAGGTTTTATTTGGATGAGTCAGTGCATTGTTTTTGCAAGATTCTACCAAGAATCTGTATTTTGGGAATGCAAAGTCCAGAGACCTAGCTAGTCTAGCTTGGTGATGCAGCAAGACTTCTGAGTTTAGAGTCAGAAACACCTGAGTTCAAATCCAGCCTCAGATATTATGTACTAGCTCTGGGAGCCCAAACAAGCCATTTAACTTTTTTGCCTCAGTTTCCTCATACGTAAAATGGGGAAAATAGTAGCACCTACTTCCCAGGATTATTGTAAGGATCGAATGAGATCATATTTGTAAAGCACTTAGTCTTATAAAAATGCTAGCTATTGTAGAGAAGTGAGTATTAACATTGTTCATTTGACCAGAGTTTGAATTAGGCTCCTGTAGGAGTGACTTATTAAAGCTTATGTTAGTGGCTCTAATCAGGGAATACACAATTGTACTTAAAGCAAGCAGCAAAGATAAGCTGGCCGCTGGATAGATGCATGGCGGCCAAATGGGCAGAAGGTTTTATTAATTCTTCACAAGGATCTGCCCTAGCTAATGATGATATACTAGAGAGTTATTCTGCAGAGAGAGAGAAAGAGACAGAGAGAGAGAGAGAGACAGAGAGGTGGACTTGTCTAAGATTGCAAAACTCATCAGGTGCCAGGGCCATGAAAGAATGCCAAACAGGCATAAATACAAACCAGGGCTCTGAGGTCCTATGGGATATGGCAAATTGACAAGCAATATGTTGATAGAGAAAAGAGGGTAGAAGAGGGCTCCAAATCACATCACAAGGTAGGTTTTTTTTTAATCTGGAAACCACAAGTTGCAAATGATTTGAATAAGTGACCTTTCTCCAGCCAGGCTATTTAAATGAAATTATTTCAACAAAATATTTCCATGACTTAACAGAATGCCTCCTTGCTGTCCAAAAAAGGTTAATTAGATTCTTTAAATCAGAGCCTCCTCATCAGAATGGATTGCAGGCTTAGGCTGGTAGGTTTGTTGCCATTCTCTTAAAGATGTAAAAATGATATGTTTTTATTTAAATACTTGTCAAGATATTAGGAGACACACCCTATTTTCCAGAGGTAAAGTCCAGTAAGCTGTGCCCTGAGCTTGGCATAACCACAATCCTTTGTGCTCACCCTCTGGAAAAAAATCACATTATTGTGTTACCGTAACCAGCACCAGGTGTTTTCTGAGTCTGGACAAGCACTGGGCAGGTAGCCATGCCCCGGCCATGGAGCCCTGCTAGGCATCAAACCTGTCTCATTGTTGCTGTTACCCCTCACTGTCAGGCCTATGGCTCACTGGGCAACCATTGCTATAGGTACTGAGACCCCCCACACTGCCTCAGGGTATCCCACCAGGGGTGGGAATCCTCCCTTTCAAATTAAACTTGTTTGATTCCTGACTCTCCTGTCTCTAGCCTGCTCTATTCCGCTCCAGCCATCCACAAATTAGAGGCCAGTTTGGTCCGGTTCACATACTATGACAACATTAGGACCACTCCCTTGCCTTCATGTGGTGCCATAGATCAATAGAAGCTTCCTGGAGCATGTCCCTTTACTTGGTGGAGGAGATTACACATGCAGGCAGACAACATACTCAGAAACATCCCATAGGACAGCCTCTGATTTCATGGGATTCTCTCCAACCCTGCTCATGACTGGCATCCTCTCAAAGGTACCTGAGGTCTGCTTGCCTTGAGACTGATTCATCTGTAAAAGAGTTCAGCCCCCTTTATCTATACTAGGACATAAACTCATGCCCCTAACAGCTATGGGCTATATGCAGTTTGGCATCTATCTGGTAGAGTTGAGTCCCTCAAGAAGATATGCAAGTGACTTCATTTTCTTAAGTCAAAGACCAGCACCCACAAAATGGCAGTGGGATGGATACCCCCTTGTAATCTGCTGGGATGAGTAGGTAAAGTAGTGGTCTGTATGCTTTCAACAAACCCTGTGGTTAAAGCAATGGAGGATGGGGCCTTTTCTTGGCTCCTTGAAATCTAGGATGTTCCTAGCACAAGAGTTCCCAAAGGCTTTTCATCCCCACCATGTTATCATTGGGCATTATTAACCCTGATGAGGGGATTGAGTTTGAGAGATGATGAATGGTATATGGAGTCACCAAGGCCTGCTGGAGCCTCTGCCTCCTGGCCTGGTTTTCTTTCTACCGCCTCACAAAATCCTTTAATACATTGCAGTGGAATTTGTTGAAACCAAACCAATCAAAGATCAGTCAATTAGCTGACAGCTGTTTACTGGGCTACAGTTCCCAAGGCAATTGGTCAAAAACTTCAATAGCAGCCTGCAGGACCACAGCCAGATTTTAACTTGGCAATCAGAGCCTCACACTACCTGCCATCAACTCTGAACCATTCCAATTCATCCCTTTCAACTCCAAATCATGAACTGTTTGCCCCGTGCATATGGGACCAGTGCTCCTAGACTTGTCTTTCCTTTCACTAACCGAGGCTCCCTTTTTTTTTTATTAATTTATTTTGATTTATCAACAATCACTTCCATATGCTTTTGAGTTTAAAATTTTTCTCCCCTTCCCTCTCCATCTCCCTCCCCTAGACCGCACACAATCTGATATAGGGTATACATATACATTCCTATTAAACACATTTTGACATTAGTGATGTTGTAAGTAAAAATTAGAACCAATAGGAGGATGTACCAGAAACAGCAAAATAAAACTTAATAGAAGAGAAAAAAAAGCAAATAGTATGCTTTGATTTGCATTCAAATCCCATAGTTCTTTCTTTGGATGTCAATAGCATTTTCCATCAAGAGGCCTTTGGAGATGTCTTAGATCCTTGTATTGCTGGAAAGGGTTAAGTTTACCAATATTAGTCATCACACAACATGGCTGTTATTGGGTACAACGTTCTCTTGGTTCTGCTCACTTCACTCAGCATCAGACCATACAAGTCTTTCCAGGTTTTTCTGAAGTCAGCCTGTTCATCATCTCTTATAGCACAACAGTATTCCATTACATTCATATACCACAACCTGTTCAGCCATTCCCCAGTTGATGAGCATCCTCTCAAATTCCAATTCTTTGCCACCACAAAAAGAGCAACTATGAATATTTTTGTACATGTGGGTCCTTTTCCCATTTGTATGATCTCTTTGGGATATAGCCCTAGAAGTGCTATTTCTGGGTCAAAGGGTATGCACATTTTTATAGCCCTTTGAGGCTAGTTCCAAATTACTCTCCAAAATGGTTGGATCATTTCACAACCCCACCAATAATGCATTAGCATTCTAATTTTCCCACATCTTCTCCAACATTTAGCATTTTCTTATTTTGTCAGCTTGGCCAATCTGATAGGTGTGATGTGGTATCTCAGAGTTGTTTTGATTTGCATTTCTCTAATCAATAGTGATTTAGAGCATTTTTTCATATGACGATAGATAGCTTTAATTTCTTCATGTGAGAACTCCATTTATCAATTGGGGAATGACTTGTATTCTAATAAAGTTGACTTAATTCTCTATATATTTTAGAAATGAGGCCCTTACCAAAGAGACTGGTTGTAAAACTTCTTTCCCAATTTTCTACCTTCCTTCTAATCTTAGTTGCATTGGCTTTGTTTGGGCAAAAACTTTTCAATTTAATGTAATCAAAGTTACACATTTTGCTTTCTGTAATGTTCTCTAACTCCTGTTTGTTCACAAATTGTTCTGTTTTCCATAGATCTGATAGGTAAACTATTCCTTGCTCTCCCAGTTTGCTTATTGTATCAGCCTTTATATCTAAGTCATGAACCCATTTTGACTTTATTTTGGTATATGACATGAGATTTTGGTCTATGCCTAGTTTCTGCCATACTCTTTTCCAGTTTTCCCAGCAGTTTTTTTCCAAAGAGTGGGTTCTTATCCCAGAAGTGGGGTCTTTGGGTTTATCAAATAATAGTTTACTATAGTCACTGACTACTGTGTCTTGCATACTTAACCTATTCCACTGATCCACCTCCCTATTTCTTAGTCAGTACCAAGCAGTTTCGATGATTGCTGCTTTATAATACAATTTAAGATCCGGAATGGCTAGGCCACCTTCCCCTGCATTTCTTTTCATTTGAGGCTCCCTTTCCTAGCAGATGCTACGGGGCAGAGATGCCCTGAGTGAGATTCCTTTCCTCTTCCTCTTCACTCACCAATATCCTGCCCACATTAGGAAGGTCCTCTCTCACCTGCCCCCTACCTAATCTTAGTCCTTTCCATTCTCTAAGGGCTTCTTGAGTTCCAGGCTCTGTCATAAACCTTCCTTAGGTAGCCTTTCCAGCCTTCTCTGATCTCTCCTACTCTGTCACTTTCAGAAAGGCAAGGCCCAGGTGAAATCATTCTGCATAAGAACTTTCCCTCAAATGTGACATTTTAACCACTCACCATCATCACAACTTAAGTTCCTTCAAGATGGGGATTGTTGTCCTGTTCTCAGTGCCTGGTATATAGCAGGTGCTTAATAAATACTTGCTAATTGATCTGGAACCAGAGGGTTTGAATTCTGCAATTTAACTGCCTAAATCATCCTGGCCAAGCTGCTCAGCATCGTTACACCTCAAGTAGCCCATCTGTGGAGTCATTAGCACATTTGGTGCTCCCCTGGACTGACCTCATAAGGTAAAGTATCAGAGGCCAAAGGACACTGGTTTTATCAAACCACCCTAAATCGGCACTTACCAAAGTATTCATCAGAGGGAGGATTCTCCATGTCATACAGCATCTTCTTGGTGAGATGTTCCAGTTCGTCCTCTGGGCGGAAGGACGGGCCAGAAGCAGGGCCCCCAGGACCTGGATGGCCACCCTGGAAGAGGAAAAAAATAAATACCTTTAGATTTTCCCAAAACACTAGGAAGCCCTTCATCGGTACAAGACAGTGACTTTGAGGTGGATAAATTGGTAGATCCCTCTGTGTGTGTATGTGTGAGAGCACTCTCTCTCTCTCTCTCTCTCTCTCTCTCATACACACACACACACTCACTTACATGGTTGTACAGGTGGATGGATAGAAAGAATCCCAGGACTTGAAGAGAACTTGATGGCTATCAAGTAAAAACTATACTTGGGAAAGCATCCCTAATTCAACCAAAAGTCACCATGTAGTCTCAGACTACTGCTCAGCCTTAGGGAGTTTCCTGACATTAATCTCCTTGAGAACAATGCCTTTTGCTGCTTCTTTTCTTCCCCCACTTCCCTCCCCCCCCCCCCCCCCCCCCGCAACACACACACACAGTGCCTTGTACCTTGTAGGTACTTAATAAATGCTACTGGACCAAACTGATTGTCCAAATTTATCTCTTTGCCACTTTCACCCATGATGATTCATGGTTCTACCCTAGGAGACCAGAGAGAGATTTAAGCCTTTTATACATGAAAAGCCTTCTAGGCTATGGCTTCTTCAACTTATCCTCCCCTCATTCAAGTCCCCAGCTCTTCTACTTACTAGTATGTGTGACTAATTCACTATGACTCAGTTTTTTCATCTGCAAAAAGAAAGGGTTGCATTATATGATCTATGGCCCCAGAATCCCAAGGCTTCAGCTTCAAGACCATTGAAGGCTTGTAGGCCAATTGGGCACCAGCCCAAGGCAGGTTGGATGAGGTTCTCAGCACCAGAATTCTCCAAGAGCATTTGTGATGGTATGGTGACATGGTAGCCCATGTTCCTGGAGCACAGAGATGGAACCACAAGGTCTTGGAATATTGAGAAACATTTCAGTGAAGGCGGTAAGGTATTACATGAGGCTGATGGTGTGTTACACAGTAAACAAAACAGAATCAATGGAAGAAACAATAGCTTGATGAAACAAAAGGAGGCTGGCCACCATAGGATCCCCCAGTTCTAAGGAGGTTCTGGAGGCTGTCTGTATCCCAAACCCAAAAAATTAACACATGCAGATCCACTAGTGCACAGAGAAATGAAACTTAATTTTTCTGGAAGCGCCTTGCAGCTTATCAGACAACGCAGAGCATGACTTAGCGGCTCATGGACAAAAGACAGGGCTTCTCATATCACCCAGGCTACTAGAAACCAAGGCATTCTTGAGTCTCTGGTAATCTGGAACAGACAGAAAATCATGGCCTGTGGATACCATGAACCAGGAGAGGATAAAATTGAACAGATGAATGTGTAGGTTAAAAGTCCCTATCAGGCTCCTCCCCTAGGCTGAGGAGTAGCATAGCCCCTAGGACGTGTGAACAGGTGAGCCACGGCTCCAAGAACTCCTTGATCTGACTTTATATATATAAAGTATATGTCACATATGTTCCTATCTGCATACAAGTTGTTTACCATCAAGAAAGTGTAAGCTCCCAAGTTATATTTCTGGCTTGGCATCTCCATTTCCCACCATACAGGTATTTGAGAAATACTTCTTGAATGGAATTCAATCAACACTGTGTGCCCAAACACACCCCTAAGCCCATTCTGGGTCTTGACTGGCTTTCACAGAGAGTCAGCAACCTGAACTTGGGGCAGTGATCTACAAAGAAACACAGGCCAGGTGTATATCCACCCCTCTCTGCTATGGGGAGTTTCAATTCTTGCTGGTGTATTTGCATAGAAAAGAGACAACAGGCCCCAAGAAGAATGTTAAGTAAAGACAAGAGGAGGCAGTGCTGGGCCCACAGAAGGGTTGAAATATTATTTTATGTTCAGAAGTGGAGGTGAGAGGAAGTGGCAAGAGGACTGGCCAAGCCTGAGGTAAAGAGAGAGTTGGGGTCAAATCATTCTTCTGACACTGACCAACAAGCCTCAGTTTAGTCACTTGTGAAATGGGCATCAGGGGATTTAGAGCTGGAAAGAGACCTGGAGGCCAGTTCAGTGAGAGGTATGAGCATATTTCCAACAATGGTCAACTTAAAGATCATTTCACAGATGAGGAAACTGAGGCATGATAACTTGCTCAGGCTCACAAAGGTAGTAAACTCCTGAGGCAAGGAAACAACACACACACACACACACACACACACACACACACACACACACACACACAAAACCAACAAGGCCCTGTGGTGAGGGTCACTGGAAGTTCCTTATAACATCTAGCAGGAGTTTGAGGTAATGAGGGCAGGTAGTATTGTGTCCCTTTAACAGATGATAAAATGGAGGCTCTGAAATGATCAGAAACACAATCATTATGTCTATATGACACTGATGGAGGATTACTCTCATTCAGACAACCTGAATGCATCTGGTTCTTTCCTAAAGCAATGGAAGACTTATGAGAACTAAGGCAATGTCAGGTAAGCAAAAGCAGGAAAATAATATACGATATGGCCATGGAAACGGAAATGGAAAATGAAAGAACTCTGCAATGTGAGCCTGGGGATCCTAATGCCCAGGCCTGGCCTCAGCAAAAAGAGGGGAGAATGGACTTTCCACACCCTTCTTTGCAGAGGTGGGGGACTATGGGCACAGAACATTGTACAGAATGGCAGATTTCAGTGATGCGTTCATCAGTTTGGTTGAATCGTTTTGTTTTTTCTAGATTTTTATTTTAGGAGACAGTGTTCTGGTAGAGGAGGAGAAAGAAAGAGATTGAGAATTAAAGGTGATATAAAAATGAGTCTACATAACAATATTGATTATACACATATATGTATGTGTGTATATACATGTATTTCCAAATATCATATCATATACACATACGTAAAATACATACGTGTGTATAAAAACACCCTTTTCTTTTTTTAAACAAGCAACTTTTCTGCTTAAGAGCTGGAGGCAGCTAGGTTTCAAAGCACCCAGGACAGTCTTCAAACAACTCCTGGGTCTTTTTCTTATTTCTAATTCCCTTGGTCTTTATGTAGCACCTTTCCTGGAAGGAGTTCCAACTGCGTCACAAACACTGGCAACCAAAAAGAAACAGAAAATCTAGCCTTGAGGCTGGGAAAAAAGCAACTATCTCATTAATTTAGAAAGTTCTAAAATGAAAAATATGACACAGAATAACCATGCCAAACAAAAATAAACCAAAAAACACCCAAAAGCACAATAAGGGAAACTGAGTCCCAGCCTGTTGGAAAGGAAGAGTGAGACTGAAAGCATGTGTGGTCTGGAAGGGGCCAAGAAAGTGACATGTGGCAGGAAAAAAAGGGCATCTGGAAGAAGAAAGTCGAAAGGATGTTCTTTTTCTTCAGGGCTTTATGGTGACCTGGCCTCCTGCCACATTCTTGCTTCTCAGCAGGCTCCTTGTATGGGGCAGCGGAGGGACCACCAGGAGCCCAGAGGAGCCCCTTCTCCTGATCCCCCCATAATTCCTACTCCTTCAGGAGTTTCAGTCCTTTCTAGTCATGACCCTTCTGGGATTTTCTTGGCAAAGATACTAGAGTAGTTTGCCATTTCCTTCTCCAGCTCATGTTACAGATGAGGAAACTGAGGCAAACAGAGTTAAGTTGCACAGTTAGTAAGTGTCTGAGGCCATATTTGAACTGTGGTCTTCCTGCCTCCAGGCCTGGCATTCTGTTCACTGTGCCACACATCTGTGCATGCTCCCTCATCCCCCACCAAAGTCACTTCCTCAGAATTTTCTGTCTAGGTCATATTTACTCGTGCGTGTGAGGGTTAAAGTGTTTTCTCTCTACAACAGTGTAAGGGCACAGACTGGTTCCCCTGCCTGGTACACCCCAGTGCCTGGCACACAGTAGGTTCTTAATCACCTCTTATTGACTTTACAAGTGAAGAGAAAAGAAGAGAAAGTTATCTGACTGTGAAGTCAGACAATTTCAGATTTCATTCTCCTTTCTGTGGAGACCTGTGTGATGCTGGGCATGTGGTTTTACCTCTGTGACCTCAGGATCTTCTTCTGCAAAATGAAGAGTTGGATTACATGGATGGACTCCAGAATTATTATACTGAGAATTCAGATTGTGGTGGGTCCCTTTACTGTGTTTTAGGAGAGGTTGTTTTTTGTGATTCTATTTTGTGTGATACTGGGTAAAAACAAAAAACAAACAAAAACAAAGAACCACCCCCTTCTAACTAAGCCCTCCTCTTTAGTTCAATGTGTCAACATTCAAACCACTCTATGCTTGACTGGGGTTACTTGGGATCAGGTCAGAGGTGAAAGGATGGGCTGTGTACAGAGTTCACCTTATTTCTCTAGATTAGGCTTTTACAGAAATCCACAGAGCATCTGAGGAAATAAAGATGGAAATGCGGTAGGTCTGGGGGAAGGGGGTCAAAAACTCTCCCAGCCACAATTTCCCTGTTTGACTTTGTGTTACTCATTTCCTTTTTCTCTGTCTTTGATAAAATCAGAATGATGAGAAGAATTATAACATGTAGTTCATAATTCAGATTGGTCATGGGAAAATGAAAATGGGGCAAGGAAGGTCTCAGAGTTCATGGAGCCCATCTGCAGGAGAATGAAATGAAGACTGGATTTCAGGGACGCTAGAGCAGGAAGGGACCTCAGTGACCAGATGGATGGATCTGTCCATTAACCAAGTGGTCAGCTGGAGTGAACAGGGAGACTAGGATCTCCCCGGGCAGCCCATTCCACGAAGGAACAACTAACTGACAGGAAGCTTCTCCAGATGTCATGAAGCCAACTCAACGGTGTCTACATATCTCACGCTCCTCAGTCATACAAACTCTGGGAGACAGCCAGGGTCCAAGGATGAGGATTCTTAAGCTCATGTTTCATTTCAGTGGATGGAAAGTTCCTCAAGGTGAGGGAAACTTTCATCACTTTACCAGCCCAATGTCCACTTCATCCTCAACCTAAAATGCAATGATAACTGGTTCCCCTATGGGGGGGCATCCTCTGCTTCTCCCAATGTGGCACTTACATTTCAAGG